CATAGTTACCGGAATAGTTGTTTGTACCATGGTTGCTATATGGTCATTTGTGCCATAGTTACCGGAATAGTTGTTTGTGCCATGGTTGCTATATGGTCACCTGTGCCATAGTTACGTGGTCATTTGTACCAAAAAAATGACCGTTTGTGCCATAGTTACATGCTCATTTGTACCATAGTTACCTAGTTAATTTTAGTAAAAAAATGGCTGTTTGTGCCAAGAAAATGGTCGCTTGTGCCAAAAAAATGGTCACATGTGCCAAAAAAATGGCCATTTTGACCGCGTTACCGACAGACAGACGGACAGACACACAGACACAGGTGAATTTAGGTTTCTAGACCCTAGCCTTTCAGTCTAGGGAATATTTCTATTAGAGGATTAAAGTGTAATGAAAATATACTGGTTGAGAAAAAAATCGGTTTTCTTTGAATCATAGTAAAATAATCTACTCAAGTATTAGGTTTTCTTGGAAAAAATGGAAATTTCAACCTCTGCCGCGACGCACCGCGACGATAAAGAAACAAAACTTGCCGCTGCCGCATCGCTACCGCCATGGCGAAAGCGGCGCGGCAGCAGTAGCGGCAGCGGTAGCACCACCATGGACATCTCTGATTGCTACCATCTCAGACATGTCTATTACTTGTGTTATCGTGATGAATGTTTAAAAAGATTAGTCGAAAATTCATACAAGAAAAGATCATCATAAAAAAACTTGGCCTTAAATTTGCATCTTCACAATGCAAAACCACGTATGCAAAATATTAATCTTAATCTTGATTATCTTCAAGAAGAAAAAATCAAGGTTATGGCTCATCCACAATATTCACCTGATCTTGCTCCTTCAGACTTTTGGTTGTTCAATCGTCTGAAACGTAGTCTTGATACATATCCAGTTTCAACAAGTTTAGCTACGGCAACAACCAAGGAGCTTAATTCAATACCTATTGACGAATATCAAAAGACATTTCAGAAATGCATTGAAAGGATGAAATTTTGTATTGAACATCGTAGGGACTGCTTCGAACATTTACTGTAAAAAGATTAGCAAAATGTTTTCTCTATGAAGAAATATTTGAAAGTTGCAGAACTTTTTGACTACCCTAAGTAATTGTAAGTCATTTTGTTGGTTTAATAAATATATTGTAATTCGAATTAATCATTTAAGCAAAATAAATTCCTGTTCTTGCCATTAAAAATTCTTGGTGGACTTGAAAGAGTGAATTTAAATGAAAGTCTTCTCTTATTGTTTCAATTATTCTCTAAACTACCATATGTATATGTTATCTGTATTACGTTTATCAGAACAAATCCTTTCTTCTCCGATTAAAGTGTTACTAACACTTAAAATCTGTAAGTAGGAATAGTGAAGAATAAATACAGCTCACATACCGTAATATTACAAGTAATAGTAAAATGCAATGTTTAGTACTAAATAATAGAAACTAGGTAACAGCGATGTGTAGAAAATCAGAAAATGAAGACAATATAGCAGTAGTATAGTTTCATTTATTACCAAAGAATAGATTCATTATCACGTAATTCATAGGCGGTGGAAGCTGGAGGCTGGGTGAGGCATGAGCCTCACCCGAATTTGGTGTCTGGAGGCTCAGCCTTACCCAAATTATGAATATGATATTTTTTTGCACAATGGTTTAGACTTATCAAATGAATATTATTTCAGTGCGAAGATCCGAACTTCTAATATATTTATTTATATGTTGTGATCATAGGCGGCGGAACGTATAGGCTTGAGCCTCACCAGAATTAGAATTTCAAGGATGGGTCAAATTCGAATCTGATATTATTTGGCTAGATCAACCTTATATTAGTTAAGATATTGAAACCTTTTACGCGTTTATCTATATATAACGATGAAGCAAACTTAAAAAACGAGACGATAATAAAGCTTACTATCTATGCCGTCATAATTCGTCACAACATCTTTGTTTTATTCACACAGAGTGTTGTACAAACCAAAACGATTATAGAATAATGCAGTCAATGTCAGAACTATTTGTATTCAAGCGTTTATCTTCATCTTCGTGATGTATCACTCATTTCTCTATATTGAGTGAAAGCACAGTCCTAACAGAGTGTGGGTGTGCACACAGCGGAAATAACAGATTCCGGGATTCCTGGGTTCCATATGATTCCGAGGAACTCAAAGATATTTTCAAGATCTAAAAAACGGTAGAATTATTTGAGAATCCTTCAGTCTCTTTTATCATACGAATGTTTCCTGTTCAATGCTCTATGATGCACAGCGAACGACCACGGTACTACTATAAAATGTGATGTAAGCATTCACACAAGCGGTGTGCATAGTACTTAGTAATTTCGATCTTAAAAAAAGGATTACCAGACTACTGTCAATAGCTTGTATTTTAGGCTGATAATCAAATTGAAAAAGATAAATGTTAATGGAAACAAAAATAAAAACAAAACCTATAATTATTCAATAGCTGAAACCTGTGAAACAACAATAAGTAAATCAGTTAGTAATGGTGTGAGTGTGTGGGTGTGAAAGCAAAATCAACGATCCACACCCACACAGTGGACAGCCAGGCGACAAAATCAATTTTCGAGATTCGAACCCATATCGTAGCTAGCATTGAAGCTACTATGGTTCTGATTTAAGAGAATCTTGGATGTCGCTCTATAGCGAGTATGCATTAAATATCAGGTACCACAAAGTACGTAAAATAGGTGAATATCATTAATTAGACCATATAAGTGAAATTTATATTTTTAATTGATGATCTACTTATATTTTGTAGTCATCAAATACTTGTATAGTTTTATGTATTTGCTATATATTACAGGCCGTCCGGACTTCTTGAAGCTCTTTAGGCTATAATAAGATCAAAAACTTCCAATCAGTATGGTGAAAAATAGTCACTGATCCATAATGCAGTTCATTTGCTGGATTTTGTCGGAGTTCAAATGGAAGTTTTAATCTATCTTTTGATAGAATGTATCATCATCTATCTTCAATAGATCCTCAAAGATGCGCCATTGAACCCTTGTCGAGATTTTTTATTTTTATGACATTTTTTAGCACACCATCATGGTCTCCCTCAAGCTCACTGAAAAATCGACTTTCGAATTTCGACTTGAAACTTTGAGCAGAGAAAGGTCTCAATAAGACTGGTTTATTCTGAAATTCTGGAATTTCTTGGTTGCTCCTATCTTTAAATATGAACGCTTAACATTTTGTGCTTTAAGTAATAGGAAAAGAAGTACTTTTTCTTACACTCGTGTCTCAAGAGAGAAGGAACCCAAAAATCTGAAACCATCAGAACAAACTAGTCTGATTGAGACCCTTCTCTGCACAAACTTTCAAATCGAAATTTGAAAGTTGATTTTCCAAGTAAATCTGACGAAGACCACGGTGTTCTGCTGAAAATTGCTGTAAAAATCAAATATCTTGATAGAAATAAGCAAGAAACACGAGTCTTTTTTAGAGTATTCATAGCTCATTAGAGCCTACATAATGCACATAGTCTCGACCCAATAGCGATTTGGCACCTGGCAATTGCTTTCGATCCCTTTTTTCTGTCCAACGTGACCCACACCCTCCAGATAGCTATGCGACCCATCTTCTCAATTATTTCTATCCTATCTGATATAATGATCGACAAAAAAAAATTAAGAAATAACTGTTTCTATTTTTTATAAAGGGCTTTTGCAGGGAAATCGAAAATATTTCGGCATTCCATGGGACTTCAAGGGTTCCATGAGGTTACAAGGGGCTCTAAAGAGTTGAAATCTGCCGTTTTCCCTTTGGGATGTTGGTGTGGATGTCGAAGAAGAAAAGAAAATAAACCAAAGCCAACACCCACCCACATCCACACCCTTTCGTCAACAAAGACATTGATAGAAGAAAAAAGTTACTTAGGATAATAAAAAAAAGTTTTTTACTGAGCCTCACCTGATTTGGAAACGTTCCGCCGCCCCGGACGTAATTATCAAGTAAAAGGATCATGTAATGAAATGTTTTTAAATTTAGAATGCACGAGATTGTTATCACTTCCGTTATCCTTTCCTATAGATTAGTTTTTATTAATTAAAAGATACAGTAAAATGTTAAAAATTCTGACTAAAAAAAATAATTACTCGATTATTTAGAATTATATGGTAATGAAATTGTTCTCTTTGAAATAAATCAAACTACATTTCTTTTCTATGCTTTTTAACTGCTGACTTTCTACGAATCAATATTACTTGGTCTCTATGACTGAATTAATAAGTATTGTATTTTATTATTGCATTTCATATAAGGATGTGTGAGTTATATCTATACTGCATTAATTTTCATGCTTTATCTCTCTTAATACAGTAAAATATCCAGAGTTATAATGCATAAGAGTGCTCTTCAATCAAACGCATGACACATAATCAAATATGTTCGAAAATAGAAGTTATAATAATATTCAATTGCAAGACAAAAGTGATTCATTAAAACATGATATTTTATAGATTTTTGACTTCATTTGCAGTGACATTTGATCATCCTATCAAGTTTATAATATGCTTATTTTCTAGTAAAATGGGAGTGGATGTAGGTGTGCACAGTTCTTTTCTTCAACTACATTTACCACCATATCCAGTCACCCATATCCACAAGCCGCATCCACTTACACACACCGCAAGTCCCTTTTTGTAAGTATAACTTAAAGTGACACCACTTCTGATAATATTGATAGGTAGAATCAGGTCAAACCACTGAAGTCCTCTATTTCTTATATAGCTTGGAAAACAACCATTTCGGATAGATTTGTACATCCTTGCTAAATTTTCATACAGAGTATTTATTGAAAATGTTAAAGTACAAAAAGAATGATGATTTGCTGTAAACATGAGTCGTCTGAGGAAAAAAAGAGACGATATTTGGTACACAAAAAAGAGAGATCAAGTCAAACAAAGCAATTAAAAATGAAAAGACTAACTACAAAGAAAACACTACTCAAATATTAGTAATTTCACGCAAATTCCATTTTCGAAAAAGAACAGTTAATTCTGTAAGTATTTTATGTTGCATAAAAGTAATCTAAACTCGATTTAAATTTGTATTAGATAAAATTTTCAAAAGTTGAAACTCTTTTCATAAATACAGCTAGCACAAAGGCTTCTCAAGATTAGATTACGTTGATATAACATCAAAAGTCGATGAAAATAAGAGTTAGTAATTATTTATGAAGAAGACATATGAGTATATGTAATGTTCAAGGTCACTTGACCAATGTCTTGTATAGTGTTTAATATTATATTGTCTTATT